TAAATTTTGAAGCATCCTCCACAACTTTTTAGCATGTTACTCCCTCCTGAGTTTCATCAATCAAAATTGTCATCAAGAAGTAGCATTTCAGATTATGATTTGAATTCGCAAGTCAAAATTTTCCATTATAAGATTCTCTCCTTAATTTCTTTTGTATGGCAATGAAAATTTTACTAAAATGCATATAACAAAATGATAATCTAACATTGCTTGGGCCTAATAATTTGCAATGGCTTTTGCAACTTCTTGTTCTTCCTAACTACATGCTTCAAAATAATCAACTAAAGTTCTTAAAGGGCAGTCTCTTTGATAACCAACTAAAGTTTGTGTAAAAAAGAAAGAAAAGAAAAGAAAAAAAAAAGAAAAAGGAATCATCTCTTTGATAACGTTTTCAATGAGAATGATGGGGCGAAAGCACCTTTGACCTTGTCTTTTAAATGTCTCCTCCAAATGAGAGATGCCAAAGACCATGTTGTAGACAAAACCTTCACCCATTACTGAGGCCTAATAATTTGTTGCTTTTCCACTATACTAACCCTGTCTATCCCTTGTGTGGTGCTAATGGGGAGGACCATGATCACCTATTCTTCCAATGCCCTTTCTCCTCTAAGGTTTGGACTGTTGTGCTCACCAAGTGCAATGCTAATTGGCAGAGCACAAGTTGGTTGGGTCTTATTGAGGTTGTGACTAGAGATTTCTTGGGCAAATCTCTAGCTACAATCATCAAGAGACTTGGCTTCTGTTGCACTGTGTACTAGATCTGGATGGAGAGAAAAAGCAGAATATTTAGCAATGAGAGAAAGCCTAAAGAGGTTATTCTGCAAAGCATTATTGGTATGGTCAGATATAGGGCTCTTGCCCTTAAAATATCAAACAGTCTCGGATTGATAGCTGGTTTCTTCAAGAGTGGAGGTTGCCTACAACCATCCTTAAACATTGAGGGGAGTGGTACCTTCTGTGGGTCGAGTGAAGGTGAGCATCTATTGAGGGTTGAGTGTGGTGAGCTTCTATAGTGAGATGGTTTTGATTGTTCTAGTTAATGTGTCTCTGTTTTGTAGGTATAGAATGATGAAGCCCATAAATGAGAGTTGCGAGTTCTCCAAAAGTGGGTTGACTGATGGCAGCCAGAAATTGAGTGCTAATGTAATTGTTTTTTCTTCTGTGCTATTGTAGGTTTATATAATTGCTGGTACTAGACAGGGGATGTTGTTGGTGAGGGTTGAGTGAGGGGATCTATAAATTGTTGGAGTGTTGATGTAGTTTTTTTTTTTTTTTTTCTCACTCGTTGTACCGCTTTCAAAACCAGCAGCCATGGAAACCCATTTGAGAAGAAGTAATGAAGGCGGCGGTGGTGGAGGTGGCAATGATGGGTTGACTAGGGATTTCTTAGGTCTTAGAACAATCTCTCATAGGGGGTTTCCAAACATGGCTGGGCTTGATCATATGAACTCACCATCATCTTCATATAATCAACAGAACCAAAATCAAACACCATGGCAAGGTTAGATTAATATATATTATGGGTGAAGTTTCTATTTACATTTGATTTATTGTCATGAGTTTGTTCTTGTTGTAATTCATCATTTATCCGTTCTTCTACATAATAAGAACACAAGCAACTGTAATTTGTTCTTTTCATTTAGGACTGTTTTTGGTTTCTTTGCATTTTTAATATATTCAATGTTGCCTTCTTGATCATTCTTTTCTACTTACTTGCTGTAAGTAATTAAATTATAGAAATTAATACAGAACTGAACACAAATTATATGAATGAATAAGATTTTACAAAATTTGTTTGTACAATTTCACTTTAAAAAAGCTTATCTATTCATATATATTGTAATCATCAATTATGTGATCACTTTTTGTATAAACTTAATCTAAATCAGTTTCTCTATTGTTGTTTCATTTTCTTTTAGAATTTTTAATAATCTTTGGACTTCATGCTGTGTTGTTCTATCTGGGGCATATAATCAATATAGACATGTCCTATTAATAAATCAAACCAAGATTGAAGCAATTGATTGTAAAACTCCATTTCCCTAAGGAAAATAAAGGGAGAAAAAATTCTCCGAGAAAAAAAAAAACCTGTACAGGTGCTGTTTATGTGTTGGGTTGTTCTTGAAATGAGACACGAGACATGGAATGTGTATAG